TTTACTTTGGAACAGGTGATACCAATGGATTTCTGCTTGCTTTGGGTGTGTTTTCAGACATGCTCAGCTGATGACCGATGTCTGCGAAGACCCCACAGCCAGAGTGTAGATCTAAGGGATGGGGCGACTTTTGCCCAGCAGCCTGGAAACCGAGCTCCATTCCCTGGGTCCTTGGGCTCTGACAACACTAAAGAGAAGCCACCAGCCAAAGGTATCACTGAGTAGCAGATGAACTGAGACCACCCGCTCCCCTCCAGCCAAGAGAAGGTGCGCCTCTTTGGGTCTGCATGGGGCACACACCGCCACCCGCTCCTGCTCGTTCCCAGCCTGGCATCCAGTGAGCACAGGCCAGTGCGCGGCCTCCATCTCCACTTCCTTCCCTTCCTCTTGGCCCCTCTGGGGCTCGCACACCAGCAACCTGCATGTCCCGTCCCGCTGTAGGGTTTCAAGCGTGCCACCCCTGCAAGTCGCCCCCGCAGAGCATGGTGTGGAAAGCACCCACCTTCCTGCCACCAAGGACAACAGGATCAGAGGCCACTAGGGAGGTCGCTGGGGAAGGCAGTGCAGAGCTTATGACCCAACTCAACCACTTCTGGGCTGATATGCCTGCACAGATCAGAGCCAGCATGCTTCCTGTGTTTACTGTGGCTCAGGGCACAGCACCCAAGATGCCAACCAGCCCAGATGGCACCACAGATGAATGGATAGAGAATGTGATCTCTGCACACGATAGAATATTAGCCCTGAAGAAGGATGCACTGTATCACCTACAGGAAAACAGACAGAACTGGAGGTCATCATGTGAGGCAAAGTAGGCCAGACTTGGAAAGAGGAACCATACATCTCCCATCCTTCATGGAACGGGGGTGGGGGACAGGATGGAAGGGGACCAGCCAGTGTGTATGGCTCTCGGCGTGCTGTGACCTCCTGACCTCGCAGGTGTCTGAGGTCTTCTCCTGGTTCAGGGTGTTGGTTTCTCAGAGAAGCATGGGTGTCACCGTGCCTGGGCCTCGGCCCAATGTTGGCACACAGGGTTCCCCATGTTTTGGGAGGGAGTCAGGCTGGGGTAACTGTGTGGATGTCTCCCTGTCGAGACAAACCTCACTCCATGTACAAAGGTCTGAAGAGGACAAAAGATAGACTGGCCCCTCCACCTGGTGATCTTACACTAACTAGCACATGTGTCTTTCCTGCCTTTGGGCTGGAACCACACCCTCGGCTCCCATGGGACTCAGGCCTTCAGGTCCCAGCTGCAAGGCGTCAGCAACCTCCTGGGTCAGCAGCCAGCCAACTGTGGCCACACAAGACTCAGCAGTCTCTGACCACTGAAGCCCCCACCTTACATGACAGCTGGGTGGACGCTGATGGATGGGGAGATGTGGGTGGGTGGATGGACAGATAGACAGGTGGAGGTAGATGAATGGGTAGGTAGATGTAGGTGGATGTACATACAGATACAGGCTGGTCCAGTAGACATACATGGCCAGACAGCTACACAGGTATTATGTCCCAAATAATGGGTACTGTAATCCAAGAACTGTAATCCCTTTTCTAATCTTCCTCACAATCTGGAAAGTTATATTTGTAATCCCACTGAGATGTTATTGGAATCCTGGCAAGTTAACTCCAACCTACCACCTCCAATGCAACCCACAGCATGAGTAAAGGCACCAAGACATATTCAAACTAAGGGCAGCCAAGGCATCCTAAGCCCGATCCAAGTGAGGATGTGTGAACAGAGGCCCTGACCCAAGGCCTCTCCTAGAATTTATCATCTTATGAAGAAGGGGGTGGCAAGAGGATGAGTGACAGTGAGGATGGCAGGAGCCACGTGAGTAATCTGAGCTGGCCAGGAGGGGAGAAAAGCATTTCTGCAGAAGGATCAATCTGCATAATTCAATTAAGGTAGCACTTGAATTGTCTTTGGAGGCTGTTACTTCAGTTTCTGACATGTAAACTTTGTGACGTAGGGACTCACAACCTCTTCATTTTGAGGCTCCTACCCAGCGGACATTCCTGGAGCCGGCTGGCTCTGCCTTCCCACTGTGCAGGAAACAGGAGCTGCCAGTTGGCCTAAGAGCTCTCACATTAGTACCTTAGCTGGCCTTATCTGCGTCCCCTAGAGCCAGCTGAAGGGGGAGGGAGCAGCACTCTGTGCACGCTCTGTGCACATCAGCACATGGGACTGAGACTGAAGCCACTGCAGCTGCTCTGTGTTCAAGAGGAGGTGCTCAGATCAGCTCCCACAGACGGGTAATGATGGCAGGTAGACGGGTGGATTGGTGGGTGACAGACAATAAATAAAAGATGACAGACACTGATGGGTAGCTAGACAGTAGATGAATGATTAGCAGTTAGATGGCAGGTAAACAGGCAACGGATAATAGAAAAATGAGTTGACAGTGGAAGATAAAAAGACAGATAATATATAGACAGATAACAAGACGACAGACACAAAGATAAACAAGTGACAGATGAAACAAAAGTAACTGATAGATAATACTCGAGTAGACAGATTATAGATGATAGAAGGATTATAGGCAGAAAATTGATAAAGACAGCTCGAAGGTAAAGACAGATTTATAGACAACACTAGAGCATGAATCAGACGGACAGACAGGTGACTGCCAGACCGCACACACGGGCAGATCTCGGGGTCCTCCTCTCCGGAGCCCCAGCCAGAAGAAAACAGGGAAATCTCACTTGACCTCAAGTGGGAGCAGAGAGCCACCAAGAGCAAAAACATCTTTAGATAGAAATTAAACTTCATCAAAATAAAATACTTCTATCCTCCAAGAGGTGATGTTGAGAGAACAGACAGACAAACTGCAGCCCGGGTGGAAACAACTGTGCAGCTGCACATCTGAGGAAGAACTCCTCTCTAGAACAGACGAGGAATCTCTGACACCCAAGAAGCAGAAAGAAGAGTATTTTTTTCCTGGTTGGCACAATTCATTTCACCAGATAAGATGAAGCAGGACTGAGTAAGACAGCAAACCAATACACAAAAACTGCACCTGGCCAGCAGGAGACGCAGATACATGCCGTGAGAGGGTGGCACACATTTCTACGAGGTTTACTGCTGTGCACACCAGCTTCACTCGGTGTCAATCAGGCCGTGCGGGAGCTGGAGCTCCGTGCGCCGCAGGCTGGGCCTCAGCTCAGGGCAGTGACCTGCAGAGGGGAAGCCAGCACAAAGGCCACCTCTGTGTGGCAGAGTAGGGAAGCCTCCCGCCTGCGAGAGATCCCTCCCTACACCTTTGGAGCCCAAGCAGGCCCAGAGGCCACTCAGGCCATGCACCGTGCATCCCCAGCCAGACTCGAGTGTCCTGATGAGCCCACTGACTTAGGCAATCACACCCTAAACCCCAGGGCTGAGCCACTCAGCCCCCAGGACAGGGATGATCACCAAGGGCAGCCAAAGACAATGGACCCCCAAGTAACCCTCCCCAAGAAGGAGGCGCCGTCTTGGGGACATCACCGAGGTGTGAGTCACCCAGTACAGGGCCAGAATTCTGCACCTGAGCCCACTAGCAGGATCTCTTCAGCGTCGCAATTCTACGAGTGGCATCCGCACGTGGGGCCCTCGGCATCCCGCGAGCAAAGATGTTCTACCTGCCCTGGGTCCCTCTGCAGTGGGACAGCCCTGCAGTGACTCAGCTGTGATCCACGCAGGCCCAGCACCTGCATCCTTCATCCCCTGGGGCCTCCCGCTACATCCACAACTTCAGGGAGGTGAAGTTGGTCTTGTTTTAGGTTTCACTACAGGTGACTGGCTTCCATACAGAGAGCAGAGCAAAGGACCTGGCGCAGAAGAGCTGCTCAGCAGAGCAGATGGGAAGCAGGAAGCAGAGAGAAGGGAGGAGCCAAGAGGAGGACACCTCCCAGGCCACGCCCCAGAGACCACCTCTTCCCATCAGGCCCCGCTTCTTCCCACTAGGCACCACCTCCTCACCAGGCCACGTCCCAGGCCACACTTCTCTCCCCATAGCTAGTATGCTCTGAGTCCAAAATCTCCATCCCTAAGCCATGCCATGATTGCGCGAGGCTTTGGGGGACATCTGGATCTAAACCATTAAATAGGGAAGCATTATTGGTTATATCGCACCCCCAGTGGACACGTTTGAATCCAACGTACATGACTATGGCTGCATAGAAGTGCACTCTTTGCAGATGCAACCAGGTTGCAAGGATGCGATGCGGGAGCTCCCAGGACCCTGCCACATGCCTGGTGTCCTCACGAGGAGAGGGAACCGTGGACACCCCAGGGGGAAGGTTTGTGATCACAAGCATGTGTACAGAGCACCAGAGAAGCCAGCAGCTGAAGAGGAAGGAGGGTCCTCCCTAGGTCCCCAGGATGGGGGGTACCTGCCAGCACTCCCCAAAGCAGGGTCACGTGACAACCAGTGCTGGGAGCTTCTAGCCCCTGGGCTGTGAGTGGAACCTCCCTTGTCCAAAGCCACCCAGGCTGTGACTCCTAGCAACAGCACAAAGACACTGTGACCTTGGCTTTCAGAGAGCCGCCAGCGAGGCCCAAAGTTGTCACCTACCCCAGAGGCTGCACAGCCTGGTAGCCACTCCACTAGGGCTGAGCCTCAGCCCTGCAGCACACCGGGGAAGCATCCCCAGGCTCACAAGCCTCCCTCACATTCCAAGTTCCCTGAATCCCCTGGCCACCTGCTCCGGGGGGATGGACTTGACCCAGCGGGGCTAGCAGCCCTCCAAGAAACAGCTGGGAAGCCGGAATCTGGAGACTCGGTCCCTAAGCCCGCGTCCAAGGCTCCTGGAGCTGGGGGCCCGGGCGGTGCAAAGTGCCGGATTGCGCTGCTGGCTTTTCTGGCACCCTGGCACTCTCTGTGAACCCAGGCAGTCACCATGAAGGAGTCCTGGCCACGCACATCAGGGCTGCCACCGAGCCAGCACGCTGGGAGACCCGGGATTCCCTTACACAGGCAGAGCAGGTGGTCCCCGTGGGCCCCCCGCGGCCCCGAAGTGCTCACCCCGCTGACACTGAGCAGGAAGCCCACGGCTTGCGGCCCACATGGCTGTCGGACCGAGTGTGCGGCACCAGCTCCAGTGTGGGCGGACAGGGAGCGGGTGCAGAAGCAGCGAGTGCGTCTCCGGCGAGGGCATGAATGCGTCTGGGCGTGCGCGCGTGTGGCTGTGCGCGTGTGCGCCCGCCGGCGGTGCGTGTCCAGGTGACCCGCTAGGAGGCCCGTATTCCTGCAGGGCGCAGCCCCAGAAAGGGCCGGCAGCCTGGGCAACCGCGCGAAGGGCCGCTTCTTCCCTGGAGTATGCTGCCACCTAGGGGGCATGAGCTGGCCTAAAGGACTGCAGGCTCCAGGAGGCCGCCCACAAAGATGCGCCAGAGGAACCGCAGCCAGGACTGGGGGCATGGAGAGCGCGAGAGAGCAGGAGGCGTTGGCCATCAGAGACAGCTCACCCGGGCAGGCGGCAGGACCACGGGGCTTTGTGACTCGGGGGTCGGAGCGCCCCTCACCCCGGCCCTCCTGGCCTCACTCACTGAACAGGAAAGAGGCTACTGGGATCCCCAGATCAGGGCGCCAGCCTGTCAGCTGCTCGAAGGGAAACGCAGGGGCGCGGAGGCAGCGGTGTGACTGCCCTCCCTTGACACAGACACCACCCACACCCACACCCCCACTCCAACGCACAAACCTGGCTCAGCCTTGGCAGAGCTCCCTGTGTGAACGCCCAGCTTCCAGTGGAAGTCAGGAAACCTCCAGGACCCTCCACACCAGGATTCCTGGCCTGGTGTGGAGAGGAATTTTGAAGGTAATGGTTCCATGGAGAGAAACATAAAATAGATGAAAGTTTTGAATTTATTTGAAGAATTCTATATGCCCAAATTAAATAGTAAACAAAATAATTTTAAAACGCTGTCAACAGAGTCAAAGTTAAACAACAAAATAAGTTCAGAGCATCTTGGAAGTACTTTCAAAAAGTTGAAGAAACTGCTGTCAAATGATGCGAATGACAGGAACAACAGAGAAATATTTCCCTTTTTTATTTTGAAATAAACTTTTTCCTCTCCATTTTTAACATTGTCCCTTCCTAAATGTATCCTCAAATTTTCATCAAGTCTGTGTTCTAACTTTTAAACTCCTTTTACAGTGTAGTATGTTTTCAGTGAAAGACCATAAAGTAATGTCCAAGTGTTTCATGGTTTGTTGGGAGGGTAATTTTAAAATAAACAGGTTCCTGAAAAAAAGATGGAAGGGATCAGTGCACAGATCGAGAGGCGGTCGCTGCCCAGCACCGTGGGGAGGAGAAGCTTTAGCCTACAGGCGTCCCCGAGCTGCCGAGGCTGGGGAGACACTGGCTGGGTGCTGGAATAGGCACTGACACGCTGTGGAGGAAAATGCACAACATCTATTGGAATTTACACTCTGCTCCTCTTTACTAGCATTTATAGAAGGATTTTGTGAACAAAAAGTGTTAGGAGGACAAGCCAAGAGGGCACAAACAGGGGGCTGGTGACAGTGTCCTGCGTCCAAGGGCCACTGGTGGCCTGAGGGAAGCAGGGAGCAGGCTCTCCATGCAGCGGCAGTGCACCATCCCCGGGCTGGAAGCAGCAGCTGCAGACATATGCAAACGTTTCTCTAAAAGCAGTCAGGAGGGAAGGAAAGCATGTGGTTCGATTTGCATTCTGATGCACGCGCAGGGGATGAATGAAGGGGTTTTCACGGAGTCAGGGGGCCACTGGAAGGGGATGAGACTTCATGTTTTCTTTCACACTGAGTTTTGAGCCTCAGATCTGTGACCTAGCTGAAAATTTGTATTAGTTTTGTCATAGCAGGCAACCAAGCTCCTCTGAGTCACAGCTGCTGGATTCGGGCCCCAAGCTGCCCTGGGTCCTCCTGTCACTGGCCTCCTGGTGTCCACAGAGTCAGCATCGGCTGGCAGGCCAGGGCTCTGCCACTTGCAGTCTTTCATGGTCAGGATCCCATCTCAGTGCCCATCTCTTGACTGCCTGCTAGCAAGGACGTAGAGACCACAGTCAGGCTGCATAGGCCTTCGGGGACAGTGGGAGAAAGTCGTATACACTGTGGGCCTTGAAACTACAGAAACGCAATCTCCCAAGGACCTGAAAGTGGGAGGCTGAGATCCAGCTCACACAGGCAGCTCTGAAACCCAGCCCACCTGTGCGTTCACCGTGTACAGCATGCATACGCCCAACACAGGGTCAAATGGGCTTCCGGCCCAGCGGGGAACCCATGTCATTTGCTTAGAAATGGACACTGCCTTGTGGTGGTGCCATGCTCCCAGATGGCAAAAGGGGACACGGAGCCCCAGGCAGCTGTGATGGGCAGAGGCCCACCAGCACACATCGCCTGGGAAGCAGAATCCGCCGCCTCGATCTCAGGCGGAACATTCACAAGGTTCAAGGTCACAGGCACTGCCTCCCAGGAAACTGAGAGCCGCTACACACCTAAGAAGTCTGGGGCATCCATCACACGACTTGGGCGATGCCTTTTGTTATCCCTGGGAGGAAGGACCACCCAGCCCTGTCCTGCAAAGCACATCCCCCATGGGTTTGAAGGGTTTCAGCCCCGCACCTCTCCAGTCTGTGCATGGCACAGACCAGACACCCTGGATAGAAGCTGGGCAGCCACTCCACACCTCCTCAATGGAGACAGGCCTGAGTGTCCAGCAACAGCAGGTGCCCGGGAGCACTTACCATGATGTCGCCTGTCCCATCAAGGGCTCAGCTCATCTTTCTAAACTTTAGACAGTTGCTGGGCCAATTGTGCAAGTCATACTGTCAATTTGGTTTTAAAACCCTACTTCAAAGAAGGGGACCCAGTAGGAGCCCCTGAGAGCAAGGGCCAGGAGAGCGACCCAAGGCCCAGGGTCACTGATGCTATGACACGCTCTGGGGGAAAGGGCCAGCAACATGGTGGACTTCTCACAGGCCTCAAGAGCAGATGGTGGGCCAGGGCTGGTGTCGCTGCTGCTGCTGCTGCTGCTGCTGCTGCTGCTGCTGCTGCTGCTGAGGTTGGCAGCTTCTGGGAGGAAGGACCACCCAGCCCTGTCCTGCAAAGCACGTCCCCCATGGGTTTGAAGGGTTTCAGCCCCGCACCTCTCCAGCCTCCCAGCCTGCCCTGCTCACAACCCAAGGGCTGCAGGGGCTGGAAGCACAAGAAGATGCTCTTAGTTGGCTTGTGTGACAGAACAAAGGAGTTTTCACACCACAGTGGCTCCACAGTCTTTGGGTTTTGCCCTGGGAGACCCATAGGGCCTGACTCAGGTCTGCTGTAGGCTGGGCCACTGGGCTCAGCCCCATGACCACAGGTTACTAAACACACTTCTGCTGCCAGAGCCAGAGAGCCGGAAGTGCAGGCAGAAGCACCCCGTGTGCCTGAGTTTTATGGAACAGGGCCTCAGTAAGTCATACCCGTCAACAAAGACCACATAGCCAATCCTGACCCCAACGGCAGAGAGGTCAGGAGGGTGTCATCACACACCGCAGTCAGAGGTGCCACACACCCAGCAGCCACGAGTCTAATCCAGGAAGGGTCAGACTGAGGAACAACCCCAAATCCCAGACAAGGCCTCGGGGATGCCAGCCAGGGCGCTAAGCAGGTGGACCTACATGCATGACAACAAAGGCAGCAACACCCCAGGCCACTGCAGCAGTGACCCACGCTGCAAAGACTCCTCGCCGAGCCACAGCAGCTTGAGGAAGCCGAGAGCCCTCTGCACTGGTGTCTGCATGCCTGGCCCACACACAGGGCCACAGCCTTGGTTCTCAGAACTCTCATCCTGGCCCTATGACCCAGCTTTATTCACTCCTGCAGTACTGGATGGACCCCTCAAGCCAGGTCCACGCTGGGTGTGCCTTGAACTCACCGATGCATGAGCTTGGAGTCTTCAATGCCAAAGCCTCAGGGCACCTGCACTCTGGGCCTAATTGGTGTCCCTGACACCACTGCTCTTGAGGCCACCTTCAACTCTGGGACAGGAGAAAGTGTATCCGCTCCACTGGAAATGCATCCAGGGACACCCACACTCAGTCAGCGGGTATGGACTCTCCAAATGTACCTTTGTGTGTTCCTCTCAGGAATACGCCAGGGAAGCAGAGAAACCACCAAAATATTAAGTAACAAGTGTGAATCTTTATTTCTGTTGTTTTGCTTTGCTTGCTTTCCTCACAAAAGCATCTACTTTTCCAGACCAGAAGGTCATAGGTATCAGGCCAGGTAGGGTCATCTTTGGCATCACAAGAGACTCAGACCTTGAAAACTCTCCTTGGAAACCCAGGCAGGATTTTCAGATTTGCGGCCTCAGAGCAGCCATGGCCAGCAAGTAGTGACCAGCAGCTGCCACCTGCTGCCCAGGCTCTGGGGACTGACCTGTCCCCACAGTGGCTGCTAGCCCCTGGGCTTCTTCACAACCACTGCAGAGCAGGGCAGCGTACCAGGAAGTGGCACAGTCTGTAAACACAGTGACCCACCAGCATCTCTGTCAGATGAAATGAATTTTCTAAGGCTCCTGGGCTCAGCCCCCACCCAGATTCTCCTTCCCACAGAGCATCCCACTCCTGTCACGGAGCAGAACAAGGATAGAAGCCCTGAAAGTGCTCTTTTCAGTGGCTGGGATGCTTCAGCATGGTATCACGGATCATTCCAAGGAACACAATTATCTGATCATTCTTGAAACCAGTTAAAACATGGAAGGTCATTGTGCTTCACCACCCAAGTCCATCTCTGTGAATCACAGAGGCAGCTGATTAAAACATAGAGAACTCAGAGCCTTCAAGGGGTGGAGTGTGCTGTCCAGTGTGGAGCCATGGAGCTGTGCCCCTCCAGGGAGCTTCAAAATGCCCTAGATACCAGCAGCAGGGCAAGGGAAGAACACCCACTCCTGGGTATCCCAAAGGCTTTTTTAAATTTCTATTTTTATTAGCACACACTTGCAGTACGTAATAATTAAAGTCACCATGGTGAGTTGCTATATGCACACAACACTTCTTAATTCTTTTTACTTCTTTTCCCCTCCTCTCTATCCCTGCTTCCTTCTTCTCTTTGTCCACATCCATTTTGCAAAAGATCTGTCTCCCAGCGGAAGTCCCAAGACAGTGGCTGCAGCTTTACGTCCAGGATATAAGCCTCAGTTCCAGGGCAGTTATGTTCTCAGGCACAGACACTGACCACTGAGTCCACCTGGGCTCACTGGAGGGTCTCTCTCGTAGCCAGCTCCCTCCTTCGAATGGGCAGAGGTCGTTTTACTGTTGGTACTGCAAGTTG